AGGAAGGTAAACAAAATTGTATCAGGGTCCAATCAGAAGAAAATAACCCACATCAGACAGTTTATTTTACTCAAAGAATTGGTTATATTAATAAAAGTTACTGGAAGAGTTGAGAAGCCCAGTGAGGTACAGTAAAGAATACTCAGAGATTAACAAGAGTAGAAGGCAACTGTCAGTGATTTGTCTGGAAAGCCCAGAGAAGGAGGAGACGGTTCCACGCCCAGGAACTCAGCCACCTGGCAGGACCTGGAACCAAATGGAAGCTGGGACCACAGAGGAAGTTCATCCAGAAGGAATGAGAACGAAAGAGAAGACACTGCGAGAGTCTCATGTGGAGAGGATGGGGAGGAATGCCCTGTTTCTCCTTTGCCACCACTCGTTAATGTTCCACCAGTGCTTTCTATTTTCTGAGCCTAGATGGCAGCCAGGTGACAACGGAGCTTTTGACGAGCTCTGTCACCTGTAATAGAGAGCAGAGGAGAGGAAAAGTGGGAAATGGGCCGAAAACAAGCAGGCAAATGATCGGCACAGGAATCCAAACAGCTGGTGCGATAAAGGTTTGGCTATGATGTTTCATGAGTCCCTGAGGGTCCAATGAAAGATTTCAGGAGTTGGGGAGGGGTTGGACATGGTACAAAATCGGTATGTGCGGAATTACATGAAAAGCATGGAAGATAAAGGGAGAACAGAAGAAGTCTTGGGCTTCTTACAGCAACTGAAACAAACAGGAGTTAAGAAAACAATGAGATTGGTCCTAGTGAGCTGCAAACAGATGGTATCAGGGAGAACTGGGGATCTGTGGTTTACTATTTTTTGGCATTAATGTTAGAAAAAGCCTGCACACATATGTAAGTCAAGAGAGAAGACACTATGGAAAGTAACAGAGATGGATAACAGCAGAAACAAAGAAGAGAAAAGATTAAAAGAAGAAAGAACAGCTAATCAAGTGTAGGAAGCATCTTAGTCTCCAAATTCTGATATGTTAGAAATACAGCTTTATTTGTTTCAGAAACCAATCTCTTTCTTGAGTCCCTATCCCACTGAGGTAGTAGGAATGTAACCTAATTCTCTCCAAGCTTTTTTTCCATCTAAATTCTTCAATCTTACCTAGTGCTAAGGTATGTATGTGTGTGTGGTTGACGTGCATGTGTGTGGCTAGTATGTGTGTGCACATGTGTGTGATGGGAGTGGACAATTGAAGGAGCACTTGCATTTGAACCTCAGAGTCATCTCACACTGGCGTCTGCTGTCCCATCTCCGATCACACCTCCCCCTCAGTGGCTGGTCCATCTGGGCGCCTGAAAACATGTCCTTGGTTTCCACCTGCACAGTCCCTTCAGGAACTCCTTCTCCACCATTCTTGGATGCAAAGATGTCATTTGCTGCTCCCTCATAATAATATGGTGTGAGAAACTCTAGGAGCTGTCTAACATCCCATCTGGTTAGAGCCACATGGCAGAGCCGTTTTCCCTTCTCTCACCTGCCGCTCTGAAGGGAAATGAGGCATAGGCTCTCTCTCCTCAGATCCCCCAAGCTATCTGGAGTTATTGCCAAAGCCTCCAGCTTGGCACAGGACCTTTTTCAGGGACCTGCCGAGCTTCCTTGCCTTTTCTCAGTTATTTCTTATTCTGATAGCCCAAGGAATCCTTCCTCGTTGGGGAGGCCATCCATGAAAAGTTTTCCTCCCTATTTTCCAAGCCACTTCTGTCTTGGCCTCACTCCTGTTCAAAGCCCTAGTCAAAAAACAAAAGCACCAACAAAGCTTTTTCTCTCTGCTGAGGCAATACATATGGGCTAGTTATTTATATGGAGGCAAGTAAGAGACAAAGAGGAGAAAGTACCATAGGAGAAAAAAGGCATAGGATAGTTTTTCAAAAATATGACACCTTCCAGAATCCAAGAGAAGGTAGCAGCAGGCTGGCCTAAGCATCACACAAGAGCGGGAGGAAGCCTAAGAGTAAAGAAACATTTTGAGTTGGAGATTACAATTCATACTAAATGGTTATATTTTCTTAAACATTTCCCTTTTCATGGGACGAGCTTCTCAGTCAGGAAAAAGATGAGATACTTTCTGGGAGTAAAATGAGGCAGAATTGAAGACTGTTTACTAAGGACAATCAGCTCTGTTAGCCCTTTGAACCACTAACACATGGCTTTCTCACAACAGGTAAAGTTGGCATCACAATTCCCTTTTACAGATGACAGAATGAAGGGCTGGGGATTCATCCAAAGTCACATGAACCGGTGGGGGTGCTGTGAAGGCTTGAGGTGAGTGGAAACATTTATTCCCATCAACTCCTGGCTTCCTTCTTCTCTCATGACTGAGCTTTAAAACGTAACTTATCTTCAAGTGTATAAAACTCTCCAATCAGTGATTTAAGAAAAAAATGTCCTGTGACATTGACAGGAGTTGTTACCTGCCTGAGAAAATGAAACCAGGACATGACTCAGCATGGAAAAGTGGGAAGTGATTTTGTGGGAACATTATCTCCTACAGTAACCAATTTTGCTGGGGCTTCGATTTGCTAATGAGCAACACTTCTGCAGAAACATACATATTTTCATCGTATAACTCCTAAGAGCGTGTGCACCTGCCTCCTGGGGCAGGCTGGCACAGGCACGTTCTTATGCTGGAATCTGTGTCCCAGGGGTCAAGTGGGATGCGTGGAGTACATTTCTAAAGCAGCCTGCAGCAGAAAGAGCCAGAACTGTGTAATTGTTCAGTCTTTGGAGAGCACCAAAAAGCAGGCACTGGAAGCAGAGTTTGGTCATCAAGTATAGAGCAGAGAGGACACCAGAGGCAAGGTCTGCAAGTCCAAAGCAGGTGTAAGTAGCACAGAACTGAAAATAATAGTCTAGGGGAAGCTTAGCCCTCCAGTCTTTACAAGCAGTCAGCAAGCGATATTAGAAAAGAAATAGTTATGCTTTAAATACCATCTCCCATGCAAATATTTCTTTTTTTAACTTCATTTTTTAATAAAAATGGGTTATAATAGGCAAATGATTTTTTTTTTTTTGAGACAGGGTCTCACTGTCTTGCCCAGGGTGGAGGGCAGTGGTGCTATCATGGCTCACCACAGTGGGGCTCAAGCATTTCTCCCACATCCGCCTCCAGAGTAGCTGGGACTACAGGTGTGAACCACCACATCTGGCTAATTTTCATTTTCATTTTTATTGTAGAAATAGGGTCTCACCATGTTACTCAGGCTAGTCTCAAACTCCTGGGCCCAAGCAATCCTCCCACTTTAACCTCTCAAAGTGCTGGAATTATAGGCATGGGCCACTGCACCCAGCCAGACATATGATTTTTAATCTGATTTTTTTCTTCATATATTATGAATGTTTTACCTTTTCTTTATTTTTCAATCTACAACAATTTGGTTTTTGCTATGACTGCTCCCTTGTCTGCCATAATAAGGGAAATAAGCGGTACAATCACTGCTAAATCTAAGGCCACCTCCAGCCTTGGCTTACTTTTATCTTCCTTGGCCACTTCTTCCATAATCGAACATCCATCCTTTGACTTTCTCAATATGCCTTTATCCTGGTTCTCATCTATTTCTAGCTGTTCCTTCTGATCTCCTTCTTAGTCACTCTCTTCTGATAACCCTTGAATATAGAGACCAGATCCTTCTCCCTTTCTATTTTATTTTACCCACCACCTCTGCATTTCGATGCATATATTCAAATATTTAGCCCTATCCTCTCCTGACTTCTGGACTCTTATTCAGCCTGGATTTCCCACTGACTCGTTAAACTCAACATACCCAAAGCAGAATTTCTTATCTCTTCTTCCTTCTCAAATATGAGGATGTCTTTCTTTCAGCTTGGAGGCAACAATCATCACAGTGCCCTCTTGCCTCTTCACCTTAATAACATCAATAACCACAGAGTTGATATTTGTGGAACTCAAATGCTATGTTAACACTTTACAGACATTTTTTAATTCTCTCAAGAAATCTATGAAGTAAGTATTATCATCACCCTTACTTTACAACAAGGAAACTAAAGCTTAGGAAGGTGAGGAGACTTGCTCAAGGACACCCAGCAAACAAGTGACAGATCTAAATGTCAGACATAAAAATGTGTCTCCATACCCCAGAGATCATGCTCCTAGTAGCCCCACACACTCTCATAAAAAGACTCACTAAGTCTGGTGGTGAAAAATGAATGTTTAAAAATGTGAGAAAATAAAATAAAATTCAAAATATAAAAATTGATTAAGAAGAAAAGCACGTTGTTTATTCAAGTGTAAGTGTCCATCTGGATCAACCTGGCTGGCTCAGCTTGGCAATCAGTTCTGGTTTCTTCTTGCCACAGTCTTGTCTCTTTTGAAAGCTAGACCACACTGAGCAGACCCTTTGTCCTAGGGAGACCTGGCTTCCAGATCCTGTAGGATCTTCAGCTTCTTCCAAATGCTGCTTATTAGAATTAACCTCACATCTTTGAGCTGGCAGACTCCCCTTTTGTTCTGAATTGACCCTCTGAGCCCATTCTCTGCAATAAGAAAAGCATTTGCCTAACTTAAAACCAAGCTTCAGACCTCTCTGAAACTACTCGCTCCTCTTCCTCTCTCTAAATGACTCAACTGGAAGTTCTGACATTTCCATAACCCATTCTTATATGTGTGATTTGGTACCGAATGATATGTTAGACTAAGTGATTCCCAAGGCTGTTGCGACCCCTTAGTAAAGACCAACATTACCCATCTCCCGTAACCCAGGCTGTTTTCATGGCCTGTTTAGTGGTTCTGTGGCCAATTTCATCATCCTTTGACCCAATATGGATTTGTCAACTCCCACCCAATCCCCACCCCATTCCTGCCCTCATCCCCAAGGCCTAGAAGACTTTTTAATGATTCCTTCAGCTTTTTAAGACACTGTCCCTCCACCAAACTTTCCCAGGATATATTCTTGTTCTCAACTCATTTGCAGGACAGTGATCTGTATAGTTTGTTTTGTTTATAAAAACATTTATTGAATACCTGCTATTATGCCAACCACTGTACTTTGAGATTGTGCTGAAGTTAAACAATGAGAAACAATCTCTGAATTCAAGGAAATGTTAGTCCATGTGCAGAACCAATAAGCACACAAATTATACAAGGCAGTGAACCAAATGCTCAGTCAAGTCTGAGAATGGAGCCTCCAAGCTGAAATATTAGTGTTTAGAGCAGAGGTCCTGTGGGCACTATACCTTTAAGGTTCCTAAAGACAGGAAATGAATCTTGTTTATTATTCTACCTCAACCTCTAGCAAGTACTTCAGTACACAGAGCCAGTGCTCAATAAATAGTTGTTAAATGAATAATTGCATCTACTTACAAATTCCGGGTGATCTCAGTTACATTACGCAGGTTTCACAGAGGCAGACCAGGTAAATGAGAGTACTCTTAAATTGTATCCCAGCAGTGCGGTTCATGAGAAAGAATTCTAATGTTGGGCTGGTCCTGAAATCAATGAAACATGCGATTTCTCCTAGCAGCCCCATCTGCCCACATGACTTATCTCTACTGAATATATCCCACAGATCCTCAGGTTCAACTGGGTACTTGAGCCTGCAGTCTTTTGCTACCTGTTTGAAAACTTCCAGAAGCAGAAGACTCACTCTCCATGGGGCTCAGTGCAGCTCAGACAAACCTTGAAGTCCTTCTTTTTGATGAGATGACATGTGTCTTCCTGAAACCTCCACACATTTGCCCTAGGTTTGGTCCCTGAAAACATAAAGAACAAATATGATACTTCTTCCAAAGAATAGTTCCTCCTCAGATACATGGAGGTTGAAGCTCATTGAACCTTCTCTTGGGCTGCCTAAAACTGTCCTCAATGTTACCAATTATCCTTCACTTTCTGAGTCCCCTCATGATCTTGACTAGTCTCCATTAAACACACCCTTAATTTCTCACACCTTTTTTTGAGTTTAGTATCCACAATAGAAGAATAGAATATAGTACTCCAAGTAACACCTGATATCAACATAAAGAAGACAAGTGCTATCACCTCCTCTACTCTAGATATTATATCTTAATTAACATGGCCTATAATTGTATTAAATTTTTATCCCAATCATAGCACATTTCTGATTTATGTTGTGTTTACTATCAAATAAATTTTCATTTAAGGTATTGCCATGTTGTATCTCTTCATCTAGGCATTGTACAGTTGATTTTTGACCTAAGGGAGGGGTTTTTCACTTTTTCCCTGTTACATTTTTTCATGGTAGATTCAACTTATAATTCTAGTAGATCTCTTTAAGGTCCTAAGTCTGTCATTCAACAACTTCAATATTTTTTCCCAGTTTAAGTTAATTCATTTATCAATTTTAAATGGGTAATTTATTGAGTGCTTCCTGGGTGCTGGACATTGTTCTAAGCACTGAGGATTCAACAGTGAACAAGACGGACAAAGCTCCTGTTTGTGTGGAAATCACAAGTGTTAGGGTACAGGTAGGAGAAGGGCTGGGAAAGGGGGCATTGTGAGGTGAGGAAAGAGAACAATTCCCTTTGCCGCCTCCTGATGCCCTCATGAGATGGGCATGCCTTCTATATGTTAGATGTTTAATAAGAATTAAACTGATCTTGCTCTCCAAGTTGACAAAAACACTAGGTATGTTCTCCTGACCGACTACATTTCTCAGTTGTCTACAGGAATGCCCACTGAGAACCTGGCATCAACAGTATGTGGCACTTTCTTGGTTTTCATCCAAGTACTTACTCAGGTGCCCTAAGAAGAACTTTCATAATCCCCTTGGGAATATAACTGGTCTGACTCACTTCACCAGTCTGAGGTACAAACACATTCATATCTATTTTATTTTTCTAATTCGTCCATTAATCCCAACTAGTTCTCATAAGAGAACTGCATACCAAGGGAATACAGAGAAAAGCTGTCTTCATAAAATCCAAAGACTCCTGGGATCCTTTTCTCAACATAACAGATGCCTCTGTTTACGTAACTAAAGGGAACTTATGATTTTTCATGGAAGTATAAAAATATAATAGAAAGATAATTTGCTATCTTCACTTCTGTATTTAGAAGAGGCTAGAATATTAATTTTAAGTACACTAATTCTATTAGCAGTTAGGGGAGGGGTGGCACTTCTTCATAAGAGATCAATTTGAAAAAAAAATACAAAAGGCCCTAAGCATTTCCAGGCAGAGGCTTTAAAAGCCCTGGCTTATGTACATAACAAAGATGAAAAAGGTAGAGAGATAAGAGACCTAGAAATCAGATCGACTTTTCCAGTAGGAAAAGGAGGAAAATGCTCTTCTCTTTTTTCACGGTTTCTATTTTTCTTTTCTATTTTAACTTCGGAAAAAGAAGTCAAGTCTGAGGGAAGAGAGACTGCTGAACTGGAATAAACTGCAGAAGCTGGATTAGAAGACATTGAGCTGGCCAAAAATACGATACATTTTTAAATTTCAGCTTTCCAAACTAGTCTTGACATCTCACCCTAGGCACTGGCAATCTATCCCATATCCAGCTACAGGCAGCCTGCTGGGGAATTTCAGTGCCACATCAGCCATTCACCTGCCCTCGGCAAGATACGCTCCCTCACCTTCCTACCTCCGTCTTACCGGCCTGGTCCTGCAGGCACCCAGGGGCTGGCACTCCACCAGGCCATTCCTCCAAACAAAGTCAGCCTTTCACCAATGGTCCCAAGTGCAAGATTCCCCTTCCTACACACTCTAGGCATCAGCACATCCTCATGCTTTATCCGATCTTGGTTATCAAACTCTAGATGAAAAAAATGAAACCCAGTTCATTTATACCTTAGAAAAGAGTTTGTTAACCAAAACACATTTCTCAGAAGTGGAATATGACTTATTAGGCTTTATATTATTCCATATTAATTTTTCTCCATCTAATTATCAAAAGTGAAAAATACAGGACATCCACATGACTCATTTGAACGCAACTGCACCCCTGTGTTAGCAAGTGACTTGCACCAATGCCACGGGGCTCAGTCAGAACAAAGAGTCACCACTTAGAGGAGGTGAGGTTTGACCAACAAATTCTTTAGACCCTGATAGTCAGTGCAAGGGCTTCTGCTGCATATAATAAGAATGACAATAATGTTAAAAGTAATAGCAGCAGCTAATATATACACAATTAAACAATGTACATTACATGGATCATCTCATTTCATACATGCAACAATCCTTTACAATTATAGCAATTCTACAAAGCAGGGAATTTCTGTTTTAACTAGTCCTTTAAGAGGCAATGACTTTACCCCAGTGTTCTGCTCTTAGGACTGGAAGGATGAGACTTTGCGACCAGAAAGACCCATCATTAGAGTGGGCAGCTCCTTCCTTCCTCGTGCCACACCCACAGGCAGCTGCCTTCCCTTTCCTGCGGCAGACAGGTCCCATCATATTCCACAGATGCAACAAAATGATTTCATCTTGCTTTCAGCAATTACACGAAGAGGCATATGACTAAATCAGCCTGTTATCCTCATTTCTCAACAGCCCCCACAATATTGCATTTATAAAATTTTGGTGTCATGACCTTCAAAACACATTGGTATTGTGACGTTCCTAGAATGATCCTTTAGAGTCACAGATACTTATTAAAACAAAGACCATGTTGTCTGGTAATAAAAGCTAAGGGAGGGTATGAGAATTTACTCTCCAGGTTAACAAGGACAAGATAACCCTGAGCATGTATCCGCAAGTACAATGCTGTGTGGAACACTCCCTTACCAAACTCTTCCCTGCACAGTAACCCTCAAGAGAAGCCTGAAATGTCTTCTTATTGTTATGCTTCTGGATGTGCACTTGTATTACCAATAATACCCTGTCAATGCATTGAGTTTGTTTGCTGTTTATTTCCTAACAAGAAAGTGTTCATGGTATGAAGTAGAGAAGGAGTATTTTCATGGGATAGGCATTTTGGAGAAGAAAAAAAGCAAATGAGAGAAGTGGGGAAATGCTTTCAGTGAAGGTGTTTGCCTTGATTCACATTTCTTCCAGAATTTGATTTCTTTCTCATTACAAAGGTTGGATTTTGAAAGTCTTTGTTACCCAATGAGTTTAAGAGGTGCTTAGAGGCATCTGAAAGCAGAGCCTTGGCCAAGCAGGTGGCCTGTTCTTGCTCTACCATTCACATTTCTATTCCTTTCACCTTTCACATTGGCAATGAGAGGTTAATATCTGCAAGGTAAAGCACTAAGCAAAATTTAATGCCTGAAGACTTCCTTAGCCTTTGATAATTGTTAATTATTTGGCAATAAGAACGTTTACATCTTTCTCATCCCCAGGCCTAGCACAGTGCCTGGCACTCAGAGAGCAGATGATTATTTGGTGAATTTACTTGAGTCAAAATGAACACCCAACCAACTCAAGAGCCTGCCAAGGAAGAGGAGAAGCTCTTTGGGACAAAGAGGTAACAGATCAGACCAAGTCGTAACGGATCCCACAGAACCATAAGCTTCTTCCAAAGCTGCCCCAAAGCAGTATAAGGAGAATGTTATTAATTAATAAATCCAGATATGATAAACTTATTTCTCTAAACACAAGAGAAAATATTTTCCCCAAAATCAGAAAATAGAAAACAAAGCAACATGAATCTACCAAGAAAAGGTTAACAGTTAAGCACTTTGCTGCTGAACTTGGGTTATTGTAGACAGACGATGTTAGTATATGAGGTAAACATACAGATTTTTGTTACTAGATTTTTCAGAGCTGATTTAAATAGAAACCAATAAGATATCTGGAATCTGGAAAACTTGTGTGTTCCACTGGCAGCAGTAAATCTAATCTTTTGGTTTTGGTTTATTTCATTCTTAATTTTACATAATGTAATTTTTATCATTCTGAATTTTAAAATAATGAGAGTTGAAGCAAACAACAGTCCTGATGACTTCCCTCTACAAGCCTCCCACTTTGAGGAAACTATCTTCTTTCACTGGAGCAAAAGCACATACTTTCATACTTTTTCTTTCTTTTTTTTTTTTTTTTTTTTGCATACCCTTCCTCAGCCTTAAATATAAAATGTGTGGGAGTTCTTCCTCACTGTAATAGTCAAGCAAAAATATAAACCAGTTAATGCTCTTTGTGTTTGCCCTCCCTCCTCACTCCCACAGTCACTTTGCAATACCAGGTCCTCATCACCTTAAGAGTTATTCTGGCAATAAGACTTTTGATAGCCTCATCCTCCCCATCGCCAGCCCAGACTTCTCCCTTAGACTGCTTCTGCTTACCTGTAATTTCCTGAAGGGCAGGCACCATATTTATTCATTTGCATTCCAAGCACTCTGTGCACCTTCTAATACACAGTGAGTTTTCTTTAAACGATTGATAATTGAGTGAATGGATAACCAAGCTGGCTTCCTAAATATAACTCATTGCATTATTCCACTGCTGAAATCTTGTTAATGGTTGGCTACCGCCTGCCTCATCAAAATAGAGTTGATGGCATTATTACATATTTCCTATTTGTGAATTCACCTACTTGCTAAAATTTCTCTGTAATCCCAAAATCAACACTCAAGTGCTTTCAAGGTCACTCATGGGCATGTGCAGAGCAGCAAATTTTGAGTCACCCAATGTGCATGTTCCTAGCTGAGGCTGAACAGGGCAACGCTCTGCCTTCTTGTTTCAGCTCTCAGACGTTAAACAAGTGTCCCTCATAAACAAATGGAAGAACATACCATGTGCATGGATAGGAAGAATCAATATCATGAAAATGGCCATACTGCCCAAGGTAATTTATAGATTCAATGCCATCCCCATCAAGCTACCAATGAGTTTTTTCATAGAATTGGAAAAAACTGCCTTAAAGTTCATATGGAACCAAAAAAGAGCCCGCATCTCCAAGACAATCCTAAGTCAAAAGAACAAAGCTGGAGGCATCACGCTACCTGACTTCAAACTATACTACAAGGCTACAGTAACCAAAACAGCATGGTACTGGTACCAAAACAGAGATATAGACCAATGGAACAGAACAGAGTCCTCAGAAATAATACCACACATCTACAGCCATCTGATCTTTGATAAACCTGAGAAAAACAAGAAATGGGAAAAGGATTCCCTATTTAATAAATGGTGCTGGGAAAATTGGCTAGCCATAAGTAGAAAGCTGAAACTGGATCCTTTCCTTACTCCTTATACAAAAATTAATTCAAGATGGATTAGAGACTTAAATGTCAGACCTAATACCATAAAAACCCTAGAAGAAAACCTAGGTAATACCATTCAGGACATAGGCATGGGCAAGGACTTCATGTCTAAAACACCAAAAGCAATGGCAACAAAAGCCAAAATTGACAAATGGGATCTAATTAAACTAAAGAGCTTCTGCCACTCCGAAAGAAACTACCATCAGAGTGAACAGGCAACCTACACAATGGGAGAAAATTTTTGCAATCTACTCATCTGACAAAGGGCTAATATCCAGAACCTACAAAGAACTCACACAAATTTACAAGAAAAAAACAAACAACCCCATCAAAAAGTGGGCAAAGGATATGAATAGACATTTCTCAAAAGAGGACATTCATACAGCCAACAGACACATGAAAAAATGCTCATCATCACTGGCCATCAGAGAAACGCAAATCAAAACCACAATGAGATACCATCTCATACCAGTTAGAATGGCAATCATTAAAAAGTCAGGAAACAACAGGTGCTGGAGAGGATGTGGAGAAATAGGAACACTTTTACACTGTTGGTGGGATTGTAAACTAGTTCAACCATTATGGAAAACAGTATGGCAATTCCTCAAAGATCTAGAACTAGATGTACCATATGACCCAGCCATCCCATTACTGGGTATATACCCAAAGGATTACAAATCATGCTGCTATAAAGACACATGCACATGTATGTTTATTGTGGCACTATTCACAATAGCAAAGACTTGGAATCAACCCAAATGTCCATCAGTGACAGACTGGATTAAGAAAATGTGGCACATATACACCATGGAATACTATGCAGCCATAAAAAAAGGATGAGTTTGTGTCCTTTGTAGGGACATGGATGCAGCTGGAAAACATCATTCTCAGCAAACTCTCGCAAGAACAGAAAACCAAACACCACATGTTCTCACTCATAGGTGGGAACTGAACAATGAGATCACTTGGACTCGGGAAGGGGAACATCACACACCGGGGCCTATCATGGGGATGGGGGAGGGGGGAGGGATTGCATTGGGAGTTATACCTGATGTAAATGACGAGTTGATGGGTGCAGCACACCAACATGGCACAAGTATACATAGGTAACTGCACATCTACCCTAGAACTTAAAGTATAATAATAAAAACATTTAAAAAATTAAAAAAAAAAAAAACAAGTGTCCCTTCCATGGTCTATTTAGTGCCATGTTGTCACACATTTTTGTGCCATTCATTCATAATTTTGCTGTTTAAAATGACCCCTGATTGTAGTGCTGGAGAAACCTGGAATATTTCTCAGGGAGAAAACGCATGTATTAGATAAGCCCTGTCCAAGCATAAGCTACAATGTGTTGGTAGTGAGTTCAATGTTAATGAGTCGACAACATATATAAGGTGTCTTTAAGCAGAAACACATATCGAACAAGGTTATGTATTGCTTGGTTGTAGAAAATGTGAACAGAGGCCCACAGGAACCTAACCCCGAATTTCCCCTAGGATCAAAAATTCAGTATTTGCTAATTCAGTGTTCAAGGTGACCTCATAGCTGCCATGAATAACTAGAACCTGTTATAAATTGTGTCTAATTGCATTCCAGGGCCC